TTTTTTTTTTTTTTTTAAAGATGCATTTTTATTTATGCATATAAGAACTAGGATGTAGGTCAGAAATGCAGGGGGTGAAAGGAGACCCAGTGGGGGCCCAGGTTGGGGGTCTACTGAAATACACTGTTGAGGGGAGCTGTAGGTGAGCAGATGTGGTCTGCTGCTCCATGTGGGTCAGCTCCCTGGCTGGCGATCACACTCATGCTGATCACACTCATGCTGTGGTAGTTGGAGATAGCTAGATAGTGTGGAGACTTTAACTCTTGCACCACCAGGGAGACCCTGGATTTAGATTGGGTGGAAATCAAATCTGTTATTATGAGAGGGAATATCTCTCTTAAAAGTTAATTATTATCCACAGGAGTTTTTCTCTCACGTTAGCCCACAGATGAACTGCTAGACATTACTTAGTTACTGTGTAAGTGTTCCTGTCATTTGGTGGCTCTGTACCTGAGAAGTTGCAGTTCTCTCTGTACCTTTGCAGGGCTCAGGTTGGCAGTGTTCCTTGTGACCTTTGTTCTCTGATGAACTAAGGGCAGTTGTTTTCAGTTTGTTTAGAATTTTTCTTGTAAGGATTGGGGTGATGACTTCTAAGCTCTTTCTGTGTCAGATTTGACCTATTAGAGTTTTGTATACTTTATCATGAAGTGTGGGCTGAGAGGAGAACTCCTTAGGCATTATTAGTTTTGATGAACATGTTGTTAGAAATTATTATTTGGATACCATGTTTCCTTTTTAATTCTGGTTCTGCGTGGACTGCATGCTGTAGTTGAGGTGAGCATACAGAGCGCCATGCTGTAGTTGAGGTGAGCATACAGAGCGAGCTATCAGTTTAGGATTCGGATTTAGAAACCTGTGTGCTAACATATTCAGTTCAATGAAGAAGTAGCTTTATTATTATCTTATTATAATAGTATCATAGTGTGTTAGAAATAGATAGTATAAAAAGGAAAACATTTAAAATCCAATTATTTTATTTCTTGAAGGTTTAATATTTAACTCTTCAGATTTAACTGTAAGACTTAACATTGTTAAATGTTTCAGATGTTGATTAGCTGTTTTAAAAATAAAAATGGACTTACATAGTATATGTATTTTGTTTCTTGATTTTTCACTTAAAATATATTATGGATATTTGTTCATAACAGCATATTTAGATCTTCTTCATCTTTAATGACTATATAGGCATCCATGGTGTCACTGTCCCATTACTTAATCTGAGCCCTATACATGGAAAGATCAGTTGTCCATTTTTTCTTTTTGGTTATAGATAATGTTGCTCATAATTTTATTTCCTTAGGACAAAATCTCAGAAATGGAATGGTTGGTTTGCTTTTGGTATCTTCAGTGCCTACTACAGTGATACATAGAGGCCCCTTGACTTTTTTAAATGAATTATCAATAGACAGTGTTTGTTTTTTAAGAGATCTTGATAAAAATTGCCAGATTGTCTTACAAATGCCATTTATGTTCTCGACAGGATTGAGGGCATTTAATTGTTTATAGTTATAACTGAATTTTTTTTTTTAAAGATTTATTGATTTATTCATACAGAACTGGGGTACAGGCCAGAGATGCGGAGGGTGAGAGGCTTCACCAGAGACAGAGTGGGGAGCAGAACAGGCAGATCGACAAAGTACACTGCTGAGGGGAGCAGTGGGCGGGTCAGGAGAGGTCTGCCACACCATGTGGTCACTTCCGGGGCAGGCGGGAATCGAACTCATGCGGAAGCAGCTTTAGATTCTCAGTGCTGTGCTTTAACCCGCTGTGCCACCAGGGAGGGCCTATAACTGAATATTTTAATAAATATGTCTATGCATTTATAAATGTAACTATAAATACTTTGTTTCATGGCATTGGGTTTAATGTCATCTTAGAAAAGTTCACTTTAAGATTATAAAGTGAGTCACAATAATTGTTAATGTTTCACTTTTTTACATCTCTCATCCCTATTAAATTTACTTTGATATAAAATTTAAAGCTCATGTAAGGGGAATTTTATTTTTTAAGGAAAAATATTCTTACTTCTTAAAAGAAAACTTTCTTTTTAAAATAGTAATTTATTCTTTTAAATTTGTTAACATTAGGATTTTTCCCATCTGGTGTCATCACCATGGTGTACTGGCTACCAAATCGCATAGTCCACCACCATTATGTTTCTTTCCCTATTTATTCCTACTCCTCCCTCCACCCTCTACCCACCTATGAATGTTTCAGTTCTTTAGTCAGTTTTCAAAGGTTAACTTTTTAAAAAAAAATTTTTTTTAACTTTTTAAAAAATAAGTTTATTTTTATATAATTTTGTGCATTTTCCCATCTCTGTGGGCTTCCCATCACCAAATTACCCGTGTGCCATCACCATAGTCCACTGCACACCTCACCTCCCTCCCCCATTTTTGATCCCATTCCCCACTGCATCCCTGTAAAATGTCTTTAGTATGTAGTTGTTCATTATTATTAGTATTTTCTCTGGTCCTTTATGCTCCTACTATGAGTGGAGTATTTTTCCTTTTCTTTCTGGCCTATTTCACTAAGCATGATCCCTTCCAGCTCCATCTATGTTGCTGCAAAAGGCATGAGTTTATCTTTTTTGATTACCGAGTAATATTCCATTGTGTATATGTACCACATCTTTTTAATCCTGTCATCTATTTTTGGGTATTTAGGTTGATTCCCTGTCTTTCCTTTTTTAAATAAAGCAGCAGTAAACATGGGGGTGCAAGTGTCTTTTTGAATCACTGTTTTTGTGTCTTTTAGGTAGATACCCAGGAGTGGGATTGCTGGGTCATATGGAAGCTCCATATTAAGAAGTTTGAGGAACCTCCAAACAGTTTTCCATAGTGGTTGTACTAGTTTGCATTCC